AAGTGTTTTCCGCAGATGTCACCCGAGAGATCCTTCTGTTCGATTCCCTTGTTCTTCATAATTGTACTGATTGTTTGCTTGTACAGGGCCTTTGCAACATCGAAATGTTTTTACCAAGATCTGCAGTGTTGGTGATTCTCACATTATTGCCAAGAAATTGATTTTATTATTTATGCGGACCTATCAATGCCAGCCTCGTCGAACATGAATGGTGCGCAGACACACAAACATAACAAAGGGCAAATTGAGAGTTCACTGATTTGGCTAAAGTCCTACCAAAGATGCACTACATGGTGCACTATGGAAGACTGACTGCGGCCCTTGGACCACTGCGCCAGTACTGGTGCCTTCGTTTCGAGGCGAAGCACCAGTACTTTAAGTCCATGGCTTCAAAAGTAAAACATTTCATCAACATTTGCAAAACCCTTGCGACTCGGCACCAACTCCTGCAGAGCTACGAAATGAACTCTCTCAAGTTCCCTCTATGCCCGAGAATGCTGTGTGCCCGAGCTGTTGACAAAGCTAGCTTGCCAGCTGCTGCCCAAAGCTTGGAGTGCAAAGCGGATCTCTTGGAAGCAAAAAGCGTGTTTCTAGACGCCGGAGGCTACAGGGTAGAAGACATTCTGGTGGTAGGTACCGGAGAAGTCCCCCAGTTTGCACAGGTACGGAACATTTATGTCTGAAAGAATGATGCTTTCCTACTGCTTGAGAGACTTGCTACAAACTGTTTTCACCAACACATCTGTGCCTATGAGGTGACCAAAACAGGGGTGCTTCAACTCTCGAAATGTGGTCCTGAACTGGAGGCCTCACATCAGCACTTGGACCTGTACAATGGTGGAAACGTGTGTCTTCGTTATGAGGTATTATTTTAAACAGCCAGTGCCCATTCAGAGCCTGTAAATATGCTTATTGTATTAGTGTTACATGGCAAAGTAAATGATTCATTTCGAGGTATGCTGTCCACATTTGAAATGAGACGAGCACTGCAGTATAAACAATTGCGCTAACCTGCGGTGGGAAAGTCCCTTTGCCTACAGTGCCTGTACAATCTGCTGATCAAGTGGGTTAATAGTTTTGTAATTACTAGCCGCACACTGTCGCCGCGAAGCGGCGTGAACGCAGGCGGGGGGCTGGCTTAAGACGCTCCCCAGTGACACACGGGCCGTCCGAAAAGGGCGACCCAAATGGCGTGAGCATTTGGGTCACCCTTTTCGGTCGAGGTGCACGACATAGGGTACTCTTCTCAATGGAACCTCCTCGAGAAATTCGATTAATGTGCGGGGCAGACATGTGGGAGTTTCTCGTACCACTTCTTGAACGTACGACCGGTTGAACGAACATTCACGCTGGGATGTTGTTTGTCGTGCAACCGTCCCAAAACTCTGAGCACATATCAAATACGCTCGATGAAATGTGCCAAATGAGCCAGTGAAGGCGAATCCTATATTCCGAGACAGAGAAATACTGAAATACACGGACATGATCCCAGATATTTGTGTACGTTCGTCCTGACCGGCCTCAGTCGTGGTGTTCAATGCTTCATACTTCACTGCACTTGAAGGCAAAAATAATGGGTATGACAGGCGTGGAAGTTCGGCAAAATCGAGGGGGCCATTTGCAACTTATCTGCACGCAGAACTGACCGAGCACACGTTTAATGAGAAGACGCGCTTTACTGAACCGCACAATAAAAGACGACAAGAGTATCCTTACCTCGTTCCGGCGAACATTCAAGTCAACTCACGCCCGTGCGTAGCTTCCCGTGCTTTGCTGGATATTTGGTTAAATTCCTTGAGCACGACGCCAGCTGACAGCTGTTTTCTGTTGTAGTACGTACACGGTAAAACCGTAAAACCACTGACAAACAAGCGTTGGGTAAAACCCGCGACGGAAGCAAGAAGGACAAGCGCGAAACTTTTTATCTGTCTCGCGTTTTAGTAGGTGCCTACCAAGGTTGTTTGTACTTGTTTGTTTTATTTTATTTTTTATTTATGCAATACCCACAGCGCCAAATCAGGCATTACAGTGGGGGGATATACATACAAAAAACAACGTACAATGTCAGTCAGACCTCTGCTCCACGGCAGATAAGTCATTCAAACAACATATAAACCTTAATTATAAACCATACAAGGAAATAGAAACTTATAAACAACACATATAAACATAGCTTATAAACCACGCAGGGAAGAACTCAAGCTAGATTTAATCTAACAGAGAAAAAAAGTGATCATTTGACAGTACGCCAACCAAAGACGGAGGCAATCGATTCCACTCGTAGATAGTTCTTGGAAAAAAGGACATCCTAAATACCTCTGTTTTGAACGAAATTTCTCTCACCTTGAAACTATGGTCAACGCGCTCTGATTGATAGTGGGGCTGCATTATATACATGTCTCTTTGAATGCCAACTGTCGAATGATAAATGCAATGAAACAACTTTAAACGAAGTCTCCTTCTGCGAGTTTCGAGGAGCTCCCATTTTAAAACATCTTTTGTGCGTGTTGCGCTGAAATCTATATTATAATTCCCGGTAACAAACCGAGCAGCTAAGTTTTGCAGTCTTTCTAGTTTTATTTTGTCACGTGCTGTGGGCGGGTCCCAGACGACACAGGCGTATTCCATGGCTGACCTGACGTATGTTTTATAGAGCAAATCCCGAGTATCTTTATTGAAATTTCTTGCATTACGACGGAGGAACCCTAATATTTTACCAGCCTTGGCCACTACGTAATCAACGTGTGTGTTCCATCTTAAGTCAGTCGTGTAATTTACCCCCAGATATTTATATTCTAACACTCTTGATAAAATATTGTTATTTATGGCATAAGATGCGTAGGGTTTTTTTTCCTTGTGAATGTCATAAAAACAGTTTTCCCTAAATTTAACTGCATACGCCATCTGAGGCACCACTGGTTAATTCGATCAAGATCCCGCTGTATGATATTAGCATCATCAACAGAAGCAACAGCCCCATATAAAAAGCAGTCATCCGCGAAAAGTCTCATCTGCGACACTACTCCCTCGGTGATATCATTAATGTATAACAAAAAGAGAAGTGGCCCCAGGACCGATCCCTGCGGTACACCAGATGTGACTTGCACAGTAGAGGACTGTGAGCCATTTACAACGACAAACTGACTTCGTTGTCTCAGATACTCGGAGACCCAGGAAACCACTTGCGGGTTAATATTGTAGTTATTCAGTTTTGCAATTAGTAAAGAGTGCGGTACCGTATCAAAAGCTTTCCTGAAATCTAAAAATACACAATCTACCGAGAGACGTCTATCTAAAGCATAGGCCAGGTCATGGGTAAATTCGGTTAGTTGTGTTACACAGGATAGTCTCCTCCTGAAACCATGCTGACAGGGATTAAATAAACAATACCTATTCATGTGCTCTACGATACTCGTATACAAAATGTGCTCTAGGACTTTACACGCAACACACGTTAGCGATATCGGGCGGTAATTTCCTACGTCATTACGCGGACCAGATTTGTGAATTGGGACGACTGCAGCGTTTTTCCAGTCATCTGGGAGGCAAGCTTCGTTCAGTGATTTCATAAAAGCTATTTTTAGAAAAGGTGATAGCGATCGCGCACAGAGTTTGAAAATGTGGTTTGGTAAACCGTCAGGACCGCCTGCTTTAGAAGTATTCAGCCCCTGCAAAAGTGATTCAATTCCACGTTCACTGATAACGATAGCATTCCTATCACCCACCCCTCCTCGGAACGCCTGTCTATCCCCGTCATCACTTGGTATTACGGTGGTGAAAACTGAACTGAAGTACTGATTAAATGTTTCTGCTTTAGCGATGTCATCATGGACAATGCCATCACTGGAAGTGAGCGGCGGAATGTCTACGACATCCTTTCCATTTCTTTTTACATGTTTCCAAAATTCTTTCGGGTTGTCTTTTAGACGTGACTCAATTGAATTACTAAACGTATTTTTGGCTATGCAAATGGCTGTTTTTAATTCATATGCTACTTTTTTTAATTTTTCACAATTTGCAAGTGTCGGCGTTATGCAATAATTACGATATAATCTTTGTCGTTTCTGTGTGAGACTGCGCAAAGCCCTTGTAAACCACGGTTTACTTTTACCCTGTCTTGTTGTGAGTATCCTTGATGGAACAAAGCGCTGTCTGAGCTCACAGATTTTGTCTTTAAGCGAAAGCCACAGCTCAGACGCTCCTTTGTATTCTGCTTCCGTTTCAAACACAGTATAATACGCGTTCAATCCTTCGTTTATCCTATTTACGTCAGCTTTCTCAAAATTGTACACTCGCCTAGCTACACCTCTGCTTGTTTTTACATGCTCTACGTTCATATGACAGATCACAGCACTGTGATCGCTAATGCCCGGCACAACCAGGGTAGAACGGACGAGGTGAGGCTGATTGGTTAGTAATAAATCTAAAATATTATTTCCACGTGTTGGTTCTATCACCATTTGTCGGAGTGCAAAAAGATCTGTCAAATTCGCCATTTCTTGATTCAATCGCCCTGCAGTTGCGATAGCTCTACCCTGCTCGCTCCAGACCATATTTGGCAGATTAAAGTCCCCTCCGATAACGACACAATCCGTTCGCACTGCTTCTGTCATTGCTATTAACTGGGTCATCGCGTCGACCGGAGAATCAGGTGGTCGATAAAAGCTGCATGCTGTAAGTATCTTGTTATTGGAAAATATTAATTGGCAAAAAATGGCCTCACAGGCTCCAGTACCAACATAAACTTCACTATAATAAATGCTATTCTCTACCAAAATAAACACACCACCACCATGAGCATTTCTATCTTTTCTATAGCATGTGTAACCATCAGGAAAGACTTCATTATCACCGATGTCTGCCTCTAACCAGGATTCTGTACCAAGAATCACAGAGGGTTTTACCAAATCTACAAGTGCAGAAAATTCATGAATTTTATTCTTAATACTGCGACAATTTATTACAAGAAAAGAAAGATTTACTCCATTAGGCTGACGCAGTCATCTGTGCGGTACGACTTGATTTGTCTCGTCATCATAGACATACTTTGTTCCATTCAGTAGCAACGTGTCATATCTAAGGTTCACTTTGTCGCCATCCTTTCTTCGTGACTTGGCAAAGTCCCATAATCGTTTCCTTGTCGTTCGCACCACCTGGGAGAAATCCTCAGAAATACTAAATGGAGTTCCCTTCAATTTCCGTGTATTTCTCAAAATTAACTCTTTTTCTTTGAACGAGGTGAACTTGGCTATCAGTGGACGGTTTTTGCCATTCTGGAACTTGCCCAACCTGTGAGCCCGCTCCATTACCACAGCCGGTAGGCCCAACCTTGATTCACAGATCTCTGAAATTCGTTTCTCTGAGACGGCATTTGATTCGCGAGCTTCTGCGTCAGGGACACCATAGAAGATTAAGTTGCAGCGTCGGCTTCGGTTCTCGAGATCATCTACCCTTGCCATCAATGCCCCAAGCTCACGCCTTTGGTTCTCGCATTCAGTTTTGCACTCTTTAATAGCAGTATGCAGTTGGTCAAGTCTATTTAGCTTGGATTCTAATGACGTCATCCGGTTGACCAGATCATCAATGGCAACCTTATTCTCAACCTGTGTGGTCTCGATAGAGGCAAGCTTCACTTGTATGGTCGCTTGGCCATCCAAGAGCTGCTGCAATTGTTCCGCCGTAGTGGGACCCGGGTTAAGCTCTATGTCCCCACACAAGAGGAGTAACAGAAAATAGAAAGCGAAACGCCGTAGCAGACGAAAGCAACGTCGCGACCGACGTTCAGGCTCCGAATATCTTGATAAGCAAGCAACCAGTGTTTGGGGTGGAACCGGCAAAACATAAACTGAGAAAAGAGGAGAGAGTTCTGCCAGTTTAGGCGAAGTGAGCCGCACGCCTGTTTCGAACGGTTCAAAATTGAATAAATGGTGACCAACGGCGAAAAGAAAACAAGTTTCAAGTACTTTTTGGGATTTTTGAAGTGACTTTACTACTGAACGACCGCATGCACTTGAATGTTCAATTCAAGAGTTTATAAAACGTGACAACCCATGCTTGTCACCTGCGAACAGGGTAGTAACGCTCAATGGCTCGAGCCCAGTGGGTCGTTAAGTAAGCCTGCGGGGTCGTTAGAGCCGTCAAAAGGCATGATGACGACCGGGGGTGCTCACTTTTACTTAGAGTGCACCTCTCTCTCCCTTGGCAGAGCGAACGGTGGAGAGGAGGTCGCCTCCTCTCCAGCGTCCGCTCTGCCAAGGGGGAGAAAGGTGGGAGGGGCTTCCACTTCCTTCTTGACCAGTCACCGACTATAATAACTATCGTCTCCTGTCATTATTGTCTGGATTTTTTAAGATGTCTAAACGCGTTATGCATACCCAAATTTATTTTTACTTCCGCCGAAAATTTGTATATTACCAGTAGGATTTCTTGACGGGACTGTCAGTTGAAACTAATCAGCGCGCTTTTTTTAAACTTTTGTGTGCCTTTTGTTATGCACAGAGGTTAAATTGCTTGTATACATACTACTTTCATATGTCAAAAGCGTTCGATAAAGTAAACCATGAGTTATTATTACATAAATTACCCTTATATGGTTGTGCACAGCTGTACAAATGGTTTCAAAGTTACCTATCATGTCGTCCCAACCGTGTTCAAATAGAAAACAGCCGCTCAAGAACTTGTTTTCCATTCCGGTGTTCCACAAAGGTCTCTTCTTAGCCCCCTTTTGTTCCTTATCTTCGAAAATGATTTATCATCATATGTTACAAATACCCATTCGTTGTTGTTGGCAGATGACAGTAAGTTTTTTTTTTATGAATGTTTATACTCCTGTCGGCAGCGAAACTTCACAGTATGTGTGTGTGAATATTAATTGTCACTGAATCGGTCTCAAAACCAATGTCTTGTCTCTGGGCAGACGTTGTAATCTATAGACCTTCCCAGCGGCAGTCTCGAACGAAGCGATTTATAGCGCGCGTCCCTGGTTTTGAGAGGGTACGTCAGTGTTGCCCGACTGCGCTGAGCTGTGGGTTTTCTCGTCAGTGGGCTGTGGCAGCCTCCGTTGGCCCACTTCCGGACGCTGGTGGAGGCTAAATTGTTGCGTTATATTTTTTTTTATTTTGAGTTCTATGGCAAATAGAATTTCTCGAGTTTCTAAAGATTGAATTGTACTATTTTTGGGAACAAAAACAAAGAAATGAAAACTGTTTTGGTGAGTCCATGCGCGACAGAACAAATAGAACTGGATTGTTTGTTTTGTAATATATTGACCTTTTTACGGCACCATACATTCAGCCGCGTCAATCTACAAAGGTCTTAACCGTCGAAAACATTTGACCACACAAGATATCCGAACTGCATGGATATTTCCCGCTCACAACATGAAATTCAACGAGCCTCATCAATCGAACATATATTGTACGTACCCTACGGTGCCGCGTTATCCGAACAGGATTTGAGAAAGGTATTAAATAACACATTATATCCAATATACATTGTCGACGATAGTCACTTCACGACGATCGGACGGAATCCGGCGTGTTTGGGAGCACATGTAGAAGAGAGATGCTTTTTGCACACCTTCAAAGCAAGTGAACCAACGTGTCTATTCCGTTTCCACACCGCGTACCCGACCCTGTGAGCTATTTTTGGCGAAGACCTGGAACATCATAAACGAGAAGGCTTTTTGGAGGTTATCTCAACGAAAATAATCCTCCATGAACGTTGACCTGCCTGCGTCGCGAGCTGCTTCACGTTCGCTCGCTTCGTTCGTTTCCTGCGAAAGCCGTTCAGGCAACCGAGCCCTGGTATTCCCCGGTTCTCACAGTGGAAGATAATAACAGAAAGGGTAAGCATCCTCAACAGGCAAATAAAGCAAAAACTTCCAAGAAATGCAGGCGAACTCTAAATGCACAATGCAGGTGGAGAGTCACGCTGCCCGGTTTCCACAGCTCAGGCGGACGGCAGACATTTCTGGCTGATAGGGGTCGCTCAATTCGCCAAATGGCGGCGGCCAAAAAATTTTTTTTTCATAAGTCTATTACATAACAATCATGTATTAAAATTCTCATGTGAAGAAGACCTTAGCGTAAGCATAGATAATGAACTGGCGTTTATTTCGCACATGTTCTCTAGTGTTGGCAGCGTGACAAAGTTCTTGGGACTTATATCTAGCATCATGAAGCAATTTAAGGCCGCGGTCCCACGGCAGCCATCTTGAACAAGGCGTTAGTTCAACCAATAGATGGCGACACGCACCCGTGGGGTGGCCGAAACATTGGTTCACGGTGGGATGGCTCGAGCACCATCACGTTCCCCTCGTGGCCTTGCTCGCGCCGCTGCCAGCTGTGCTCAGCTAGCTCAAGTAGCGTGGCCCAGCAAACGGTTGTATGCGAGAATGTCAGGCTGGGTATAAATTGTTCTCTGATATAGGGAGATGCAGTTCGGCGGTTGTAACGGGCTTTCGCAATAAATCTTACCAAGGAGGAATCAAATGTTGATTGACGTGTTAATATTCTATCAATGAAAATTTCTTCTGCAGGAATGCACGCTCACTAGACTCAATCTCCCAAGACACCAGTGGAAGCGGAGGTCAAGTAAACTGCTTCGCGATTTACGGTACTTACCTCACCAGTATAATGACGACTAAAATAACGTCACGAAATATTGTGTTTCACGGGATCCGGAAGATGTGGTAAAGGTTGTTACATTATAGTTCCCAGAAACTTTCTGGAAAAGCTCGAAGTCTTCCTTGAGTCCAACGCCATCATGAACAGTAACTGAAAACGATCCACTATTCAGTCGGTGGGTGACGAAACGTATCCGCATCTGCGGAGTCATGATCGATGCGTACGCAAAGTGGCTGGAAGTTTACACGATGCCTGCCACGACGTCCAAACACGTCACTGACGTTCTACGGTCTCTTTGACCTACTTTTGCCCTACCGAAAATACTTTTCTCTGATAACGCGCCAAATCTTGCTTCAAATAAAATAAACAAGTTTTTGAAGAAAAAAAGAACCGGCATCAGGCATCACATTAGTGCACCATACCATCCTGCAACTAACGGGCTAGCAGAACAGATGGTGTGCGAAACGAAAAAAAGCCCTTTTGAAGCTTACGGAAGAAGCAGTTCAGTGAAGAATCGCCAGGTTCTTGTTCCAGCAGCACGCGACGGTCTCATATTACACGGTAAAAATACCCGCCGAAGCAATATTCGGCGGACGAAGAGCCACACCCCTCGACCTCATGATACTTTGGCCTACGAAGATCGAGAGATTCCCAGATCGGGAGTAATGGCAGTTTATTCGGTCGGACAACTCTTCTACGTCAGGAATTTCAGCGGAAACCGGTCTTCCATGTAAAACTTGAGTAGAAAAAGCTCTATGTTGGTTGACCAGAAGGTGTCATCCCTCTGAATACGTTGGATATCAATGCCTTTGAGTGTAAATATAACTAAATCACAAAACTCTCTTTGTGTATTGTGTAACTGCCCTTGTATTTGATAGTAGAAGCTATGGTGGTGATTTGGACCTTTCACACCAGGCTCCTTTTTCTTATTTTTCGCCTCATACTCCTTAGCGGTTTAAGTATGCTTCAAGGATCTTTTGGAACGGGGACACTTTACGTCAACGAGGCCATTTGTTCCAAGTAGTGAATCAGGGAATGCTACTAGAAGTCCGTCCCTCATATTAACGAATAATCCGCACTTCTGCACAGTGTAGTTTTCCTGTTCCACGTACAGTTGTAAAGCAGCATCCTCATTGATTCTACCATATTCTGTTGCGGGTGAAGAAAGTCTTTGGGTACACGATACTTGAAACAAGTCTGGCACTGTACGTTGTGCTTCGACACCCATGTCGTCGTCCTTATAGAGCCTCATCATTTAATCATTACCTCGAGCCCCCCCTCCCCCCCCCCCCCCCATATTGCTCTTCATCAACAGTAAGTACAATAGGCTGCCGCCATATTACAATCCAAGAAATGAAAAATGGAGCCGTTCAGTCCTTCAACAAATTTATTAATTATATAATGTTATTACGTTACATTACCTCGAGACGATCAACGTCTATCGTCGATCTTCAAATACTTATACCTGTATATACATTAGACATACAAGGGGGGAGGGGGGGGGGGGGGTGTCCGTGGCCGAGCGCATGGTCTAGCGCACACCAGCTCGGAGCACTTGGAGCGAAAGCTGGCGCTGGAGAACCCACCCCGCCCCTGCCCGTTTCGATCTGGAAGGGCATCGTACCGGCGTGCGGTCGCGTATCCCTACTGCGTGGTGCACGTTAAGACCCCAGGTTTGCGGTTGTAGCGCACTGGCTAAATTGCTCATCTACAGCTGAGACACCAGACGCCCACTAAGGCAGACTAACTTCCGGCTCTGTAAACATACACAACAATTTGCAATTAGACGCATAATAACAAAGAACACAGCGTGCCGCCTCTTTTCTTTGGATGCCTTTTTTAAACCAGTGAAAGCTCGCGCGTTCTCTCTTTTGAGACGGTTAGAACGGTCGCACATGAAACCCGCGTTTCTCCTACCCGGCCGCTTCCTCCTCTCATTATGTGTAGTTGGTTATAACTAAATAAGCTATAATAACGGTGTATTATGCATATTTACTTTCAGTTTCAGTCAGGAAAAAGGAGTTTCGCGGGAACTAGAGCCAATAAATGAGCTGCGCTTAGAGTATCGGCACTCTCTTCCCCGACAGTGTTATGAAGGCCGCCATTTTGGTGCTTGTGCAGAGCAGGCGCAACTGCCGATCTTCATGATTCAAAAGTGCAACATCCTCAGCATTAGATTCGGTGTTAGGAAGCTCATGTGATGTTGCTTTGCTTTGTCGCACACTGTTAAAAGTGGAGG